AATTTTTTATTTATTGTAGAGACGAGGTCTCACCAAGTTGCCTGGGCAGGTCTCAAACCCGCAGACTCAGACAATCCACTCGCCTCGGCCCCCCAAAGGGTTGGGATTACAGGCTGAGCCACCAAGCCCGGCCTGGCCCATGCACTTTTAAAATATGTTCCAAAATTTCAGCTCACCCAGGAGCTGAAACAAAAGTGTTCCCCCAGGATGAATCCATTGCAGGGAAAGATATAGGCATTGATACCTACATATATTCTAAATATAAAGAAATAGGAACGGTAGAAAATGTCAGATCTTTGCTCAAGTGTAGTTTTCTCTGACTACCCTATTTAAAAGTGCAAACTTCTCCATCCTTGACACCTATTCTTCCTAGCCCTGATGATTTTTCTTCATATGCTATGTCATTCTCTCTCTCTCACACACGCCCATACATATACAAACAAATATACACACACATACCCCCTACACATAATGTTACTATTATTTATCTTCACTAGAATGTCTAGTCTCGTGAGGACAGAAATTTTTGTCTGCTTTGTTGATTGCTGTATCCTCAGCACTCAAAACACAAAGCAGACACTTAACATATATTTGATGAATGAACAAATAACTATAGAGAAATGAATTTTTTTCTTTTCCCTTACCCTAGTCTTGCTTTTTCTCATAAAAGTTGAACCTCTGCCTTAGATAATTAGGTTTGGACTTTTCTTCCTCCTTAAGTTCATTGAGGTCAAATTGGGTTTAGGGTTAGGCCTGTAGTTTTCCATCTTTCTGTTTAGGGGAAGGTTTGGAAGGCAGGTAAAACTAAGGAAATATATGTAATACCAGCACAGTCTAGATTCTTCTTGGAACGCCCTTGCATTAGGCATCTGTGCAACTTGCTGCCTCACAGCAGGTCTCAAATCTCATCTCATCAGAGAAGCATTTCCTGTCTGCCCTAAGAGAGATAATGTCCCCATCACCCTTCTTTGTCTTCATAGCACCTATTACCCTGCCATATATATATTTGTCTTTGTTCACTCATTAGATAAGCTCAGTGAGAACGGTGACTTTCTGTTTTGTTCACTGCTGTCTTCCCAGGTCCTAGAACCATGTGACACATAGTAAGAGCTCGGTGAACAAATGAGTTAGTGAATTCAAAAATGCCTCTACAGATTAGAAAAACAGGATGAGGTCAAGATGATTATGCATATCAGGGATAAATGTAAGTTTCTACTTGGACTTAAAAACCTATTTATAGACAATCACCGCACTTGACAAGTTTAGGCAAAAATGCCTTAGTTTAGATGACCACAAGTTTAAAGTAGTTAAATTAGGTTAATGTCTACTTACACTGTGAGCATACTGTCCAGATCACAAGAGGTAGGTATAATTTCATCTGCACTGCTCATAACATGTGTAATATTCTGTATGACACTGACAATAATAAAAGCTGCTATTTTTGTGTGTACATTTATGATGTCCCTGCCAGGTATTGTGCTAAAGCTTACTCTCTGAATCAAAGAGCTCATTGACTAGGTATCATTAATATCCCCACTTTATAACCGAGGAAGCTGGGAGCTCAAATCTGCCAAAGGCACCTTCTAGCACATGGCAGTGATGGGTATAAGCTCTGGTGTGCCTGACACCAGAGACCATACTTTACATATGGATAGTCAGGATAGTTGGGGGTGTCTAGGAACAAAAACATCTTTAATTATAAGTATTTTAGGCCTGGGTGCAGTGGCTTATGCCTGTAATCCCAGTCAAGATTTGGGAGGCCAAGGCAGGAGAATCACTTGAGCCCAGGAGTTCAAGACCAGCCTGGGTAACAAAGTCTCTACAAACAAACAAAACTCAAAAAAATTAGCTGGGTGTAGCTTGAGACCAAGAGGCGAGCTATGATTGTACCACTGCACTCCAGCCTGGGTGACAGAGTGAGATCCCAACTCAAAAAAAAAAAAGTATTTTAGGTATTTTGAGGGAAGAGGGTCTGATTTGATTTTACAGGATCACAGGATCAGCACCAATCAATACAGGCTATAAGAAAGCAGATTCGCCAGGCTCGGTGGCTCAGCCTGTAATCCCGCGCCTTTGGGAAGCTGAGGTGAGTGGATTGCCTGAGCCCGCGGGTTCGAGACCCGGCTGGGCAGGCAAGACCTCATCTCTACAATAAATCAAAAAATTAGCCAGGTGTGGTAGTGCGTGCCTGTAGTTCCAGCTACATGGAAGGCTGAGGTGGAAGGATCGCCGGAGCCCAGCAGGTCGAGGCTGCGGTGGCCGGGAGCGGCCACTGCACTCCAGTCTGGGCGACAGAGTGAGACTCCAACCCAAAAAAAAAAAGAAAAGAAAAGAAAACAGATTTTTAAAAAATAAGAAATAAATTTTAGTCGGGCTCGGTGGCTCAGCCTGTAATCCTGCGCCTTTGGGAGGCTGAGGTGAGTAGATTGCCTGAGCCCGCGGGTTCGAGACCCACCTGGGCAGCGAGACTTCATCTCTACAATAAATCAAAAAATCAGCCAGTCGTGGTAGCGCATGCCTGTAATTCCGGCCACTTGGAAGGCTGAGGCGGAAGGATTGCCGGAGCCCAACAGGTTGAGGCTGTGGTGGCCGGGAGTGGCCACTGCACTCCAGTCTGGGTGACAGAGTGAGACACCAACTCAAAAAATTTAAAAAATTAAAAAATTTAAAAACTAAATTAAAGAGAGAGAAGGAAGAAAGAAGATTCACCTCCCCAAGTGGGGAGAGGGGGACCAAAGCCAGGAAGCATGGCAACAGTCATGGCTCAGAGAGTACATGGCCACACCAGACTCTAGGAAGGCAATGGCCCCAATTTTTTATTTTTTTTTAGTTGGAGTCTCACTCTGTTGCCCAGGCTGGAGTGCAGTGGCACGAACATGGCTACCGCAGCTTCAATCCGCTGGGCTTAGGCGATCCTTCTGCCTCAGCCTTCTAAGTAGCTAGAACTACAGGTGTACGTCATCATGCCTGCCTAATTTTTCTTTCTTTCTTTCTTTCTCTCTCTCTCTCTTTCTCTCTCTCTCTCTCCCTCCC